ATTAATTTATTTTGGTGAATATTTTTGTAATTTTCGGTAAAAAGTGATATTTTCGACTTCTTGTTAAAAACCGTAAGTCCGATTGCTTTGATACTATTCATATTGTTCATTTTCTAATGATGTCTTCATCATTGCTAACAGCGGAGCTATCTCAGCCGATAGGCTGCTTGTTTAGATTATGCGGACTCTGTGGTTGAGGTGACTGAAAACTATCCACACTATCATAGTGCCACTGGACAGTAAACTGTTTGCAACAGAACTGACTGGTTGGGGAAATTTTGTCATTAATTGTCACATCCTGCGATATTTTCTAAATCTGGAACTATAGAGAAACTATCCTCAGGGGCGTACATCCGGGCATTTTCACTGCCTGGCAACCCACGGCGGTGAAAACAAAGGCCCAAAACTCACAGAAAACGGTACTTTGGGATGACTGTTGAGACTCCTCTGAACAGTGTAACAAGATTAGCCCTACGTGTGTAACATATATAAATTTGGTTGTTCAGCATTACTTCAAAGTTGAGTTTGTGTCGTTTTCTCGAATATTCACCGGCTCGACCGGCGTTCCACAGAGCCCATAGAAATACATGTACAGTGGTGCGCGTCGTAGCAACGTGGAACGTCTTGTGACGTAGCTCCGTCCCCGAGGATACTAGTCCCAACATCCATCAGAGTAAGGTGTTCTTTTTCACCATAAGAGGAATGGCTAAAACTACTGCTGCACAATGCATACCTTTCCTGAATCAAACATATTAGGCCCATACGCCATATTAGGCCATATTTTTAATAGTTATTTAGGACTACGATTACCAAATATTATCTTCTATATATCATATTAGGCCCATACTGTTTCCAGCACGATCATCAAAAAGACAAGATTCTGTGATTTGGTCAGATGGGATATTTCTAAATTGTTTTGAAAATCTAGAACTCTAAATATTTTCTTTTAGAAATACCCTGCATTTGTCAGAAACTAGATTTTAATTCTCACTGTGGAATACTCAATTTGTCATCACTGAATGACAATAATATCAAAGCTGTGTTCCCACCTGGTGACTGCGTTTAGATGGTATGTTGTTGGTAGAGGGCCCTCTATCTGAACTGGCTGCTCTACTTACATAACTTCTGCTCACGAGTTCAGTCGTAATAATTTAAATTTACATTTATCAAGCTCTGGAAGAAATTGTCTCTGTTATCTGGAGTCGAAAACAAGCTTTTGTATAACAAAAGACCCAAGAATGATGATGCAATGGGGAACCAGTACATTGTTTATTACAGATATTAATTGATGTTTAAACGTTAGGTTTGCTAATTTGGAATCACTTTCCTGGAGATCAATGAATGCTTAGTACTCCTTGAGATCGGTGTTTAGCATTGATGTCTCTTGCAACCAAAAGTCATCGCAATTAGTCACACCAAAGTTAAGCTTATACGATATGGATGCCAATTTGGACATTAACAACTTGTCTTTGGACCAGGTCAATTTTTGGTACCAATAGAGCAAATACAGAAGCACTCATAGAACACATGCACATGAATAGCCTCACAATGAAAACACACATTTTGTTAATCTTGTCATTGTTTTCTGGCTCAAAATGTGTATAATATAACAAAGTTACATTCACCAAATTTTTGTTCTCAGGAATATTCTTTATCTAGTGATATTTTATAACTTTAAGTACATGTATTACGAGGAGGCCTCAAAGTATGCACAAAGACAGCTGGAGTATCGACTCACGGGCAGCAGAGGTTCGATAAGACTGCGTACTGTCTGAGTGCATACCTTGAGGTATCCTCGTAATAACCTTAATATTATACATCCAAGGATACATCATGGGAATATTGAAATCTAAAATGTTTAGAACAGAATCGGCGAACTTCTTTGTGTGGAATTGGTCAAACCCTGATGGCAGCCATGTTTATTTTATTATTAGAGGTTGTTTACGCGCGTAATCATTCCATATTTGGAATTTGTATTTCCTAATATGGTAGGATGAAAATACCCTGTAAAATATCGCAAAATTACGGCACGCTGTATTTTATGGCGTTACAGTGACAGATTTTGTCAGTGATATTGTCTGATATTGTCTGATTCATTAGTTAGTTATGCTCCATGTTATGGTTTGAATTTGATATAAACATTATTTTGATTTCCTGGATGTGATTCACATGATGAATAAATAGTGTGCATTTGTTTCTTTGTTTATTATCTATTTCATGGATAATGTATTTATTATTTTTTTTATTCGAAATGCAATTCTAATGAACACGTGTGTCAATCCAAAATGGCATTTATTGTTATAATTTTGTTTTTATATAGATTAGTATTAAAACAAGTCATTAAATAATGAAAAAAATTTGAACTCTCGCTTTTACATCAGTTAATAAAATGTCTAGTCATTTTATTTTGAATATATTCATATAATTAGTTCTACATATTTGCTTCTCCATATGTAAGGTTCTCATGTGAATGACCTAAGGTGAATGACCTACTGGTTGTTCAGTCATCGTAGAGTTGTTTCTATAATGTGTTCGCATACCAGTGTAACTGTAAAAGAGACCTAGCTTGGTAACAGACAAAGTTTACAAAACTGTAGACTTTTGGGATATTCCATTATTTGCTATGCTGTGTGAGGGGAACACAATGAACTTGAATCCAATCTTTCTTTGCTCTGATATTACAGGATATTGCGTTGTTCTGGTAAAGGTATATCAGTGGTTAACAGTATTGTGGCGTCACTTCTACAAGATTTACACAACTATCAAGATCTTCCCAGTAGATGACTTATTCAGATCGAAAAATGCAGTATGTGGCATGTGGCAACCCAAATTTTTGACTTGTATTAATTTAATTCATGTAATATTTGTAACTTTTTATGAATAAAAATTATTTTAAGTAACAATAATAATGTGATGGAAGAATTGTATTAATTTATTCAAAAAATACCCCTTTCCAAATAATAAGCTGCAAGCTGGGATTGATATATACCCATTTCACTGTTAAAGAATTACCAGGATGTACCTTAGAACTGCATATACCTTGAAAATGTCACATAGCCAGTATCAATTTGGAATTGTAATTTATTTTGTTTGAAGTAGCAGTATTTTATTGTTTTTCATAATTTTTACGTGGTTTTAACATTTTGTCACCCTACTTCAAAAAGACAAAATGTTAAAACCACATAAAAACTATATAAAACAATAAAATACTGTTAAATTCAATCAAAATAAGTAATTATTCAATAAATTAAAAGAAAATAATGTTTTTATAATTTTTATGTGGTTTTAACATTTTGACGCCCTACTTCAAAATGACAATGTTAAAACCACATAAAAACTATATAAAACAATAAAATACTGTTAAATTCAATCAAAATAAGTAATTATTCAATAAATTAAAAAAAAATAATGTTTTTATAATTTTTATGTGGTTTTAACATTTTGACGCCCTACTTCAAAATGACAATGTTAAAACCACATAAAAACTATATAAACAATAAAATAAATTCAATCAAAATAAATAATTATTCAATAAAATTAAAAAAATAGCCTGTACTCTATCAGGTTTTAATCAGTTTGCTGTCCTATATTACCATTAGTATCACATGCACTTGTGTAAATGACAGAAGTGCATGGTCAAAATGTTATTTTAATGATCGAGATACAATAAATATAAATTTTCCGTGATATGCACTTGTAATAGATTTGTAGATTTGGTTGTCCCAAATTTATAAACTGCTTTTATGAAGCCTCCCCTCCCCTCCCCCCCAATGATTCATCCAATATAACATTGGTCAGACCATGTTGACTGTGTTTCCTGGACAAATTGTATCCAACCCTGTACTTTGTTACTATGGAAACGATAGAGATATTTCAAGGTCATTTGTTACTGTAATTGTTTTTGCTGTGTAAAAAACTGATTCACATTCAAGATAACATTTCAGTTTTCTGACCATTTCATCATACACGTATGTAGGTGTGATAACCCATACGTACATGACCGTTTTAACGATAACGGTCGTTGTAAATGTTCATACCAATGTTTATTAACAGTAATCTTTAGAATCGAGTATGGAGATAATTTCAGTCGATTGTCAAAATATTTAACAAACTTTATTAAAATTCTGTTGTATATGGAAACCAAAAAATTATTTGTTGATATGAAAAATTGGAGTAGGTGTTGCCCTTGACTTTGATGAGAGGGTATATATTAAAACAGTTAAAACACATGGTTTTAATTTTGAAAGTTTCTAACATTTTGGGTAAATTTTGTGATTTGAGGCAAGAAATGGTCTTTCATTTGATGATTCTTGATTTTGCTTGAAGATATTGTTTTTGAGTATGTGACTTAAGTGATTTGCTCTGACAGGCAATGACCCCTACAACATAATGGTTTACCCCTGTCCTGTGGATGGTGTTGGATACAAAGATATGTAATTTTATTGTGATTGATGATATTTGCATTTCACTGGCGAATGTATGATGTACAAAAATACCAGAAGATACACTAATACACAGAACACTAGTTTTATCCCTTTTTTGAATTGCATAGCACATGCATACAACGAACAAATTTCCTATTTGCAAATGAATGACAATTAATTAATTAAGTACCATATGTAAATAACATGCATATGAGCATATAAAACATTTTCTTGCATGGGATTTTTATTTTAATTCTTGTTTCTACACAGATGAAATGTACAAATAATTTACTGAGAAAGTACTTACAATTCTCATCTCTGTAAAACATATGTTTTATTGTAACATGTAAAAACACCAATGTAATTGAATGTTTTTATATACCTAATATAATTTTCAAGGTCTGTGGATAATTAATTTGTTCTACCAATGAGGCAAATTATTTGAACCATAAAAGATATTTATACCTGATAGGGTGACTGTTTTTCTGATCCTCAAAATTTTGATATAAATCCTGATTCGTCAATTTTTTGTTGTAATAGATGGAAAAAGAAATGTTATACTTAGTGTTACTGTAAATTACTCTATTTTCCCTTTGAATATCTTTTTGATGAAGTAATAAATCAGTGACAATAAAGTCCATACAAAACAATCAAAATATCCGTTCAGCAAAATTAATTCCAGCTAAAATAAAGTATTTTATAGTATGTATATTCAAATTGCATGTGCAACATTAATATTTACATTCCCAT